CGATAACCCGGGGGCCTGGGCGTTCCACTGTCACGTCGAGTCGCATTTCGCGATGGGGATGGGGGTCGTGTTCGCGGAAGGGGTGGATAGAATCGGGAAGCTCCCGGAGAACATTATGGGATGCGGGGAGGCCAAGACCATGAGAAATTAATTGAGGCTTTGCTCGTACAAACGATATCCATTCTTTCAGACAAATTCTTTTTTTATTATAAAAATTAATGTAAATGATTAATTAATAATGTTTTTTGCTGTGATCGTTGATCAAACCTGTCAATAATAAAATCTTGTGCTTTTTTGGTGACACGTTCCGTGGGTCTTTGTGTGCGTTGGCGTTAGTTGATTTTTGTATGGGGGGAAAATGCGCGGTCGGAATTTAAAAAATGTTGGGAGGCTGAGGGGTGCACATGGCGTGCGCAGGAATCAATTTACTCCTCGGTCGTGCGTGGCGTGGCAGCGTGGGGACTAGGGGATGCTATGCGCCAGTCTGCAAGATAAAAAGGATATTATTATTCTATAACTCTGCAAATTTAAAGAGATTCGACTGTCAAGGAAAGTTAACTACGGAATTAGCCCCCCTTAAGGGGCTGTTTGGTTGTATGTTTGTACCGTGTAAAAAGATGGAAAGTGTAAAAAAGTAAGTTCTAATGTCAGCTTTCATCACTTTACATTGTTTGTTTAAATTCTCTTTTACATGAAAAGCTTACACTTTTTGATGAGGTCTCACCGAAAACAAAATCATCAAAATTAGGGACTGTTTTGTTGGTTTCTTTTGCCCCTGATTCCAATCAGGGGCAAAAGAAGCAAAACAAACAGCCCTTTAGGAGTGATTTTGTTGGAAAACTGACACAATGTCATGAATGTGTCCAAAAAAATAATAAAAAAATCAAAACCTTGTAGAAAATGATGAGGTGGATAACCACTTTCTATTTTGTGTCATAAATACTCTAGTTTATATTATACTATCCAAACAATGTAATACTATTATTTTAGGATTCACAAAGATTCCTAACCAAACAATGTAAACATTCGAATGGAAAATGGTGAGATGAATAACTATTTTCTATTTTGTGTCATAAATATTCCTAAAGGCATCCAAACAGCCCCTAATTTTTAATACTAATACGTGCGTGCGCATCTTGTGTAAAAGCTCTCTTTGATCGGTAAGGAATGAATGAAAGGGCTTGGAATTGGGCCGACCGTGGACCCATGCTCAGAGTCCGGCCGCGGAAAGGACGAATATTTTGGCCCGAACCTTTAATCAGTAGCTCTGGAGGTGCTTGGCCCAATAAGTCCGGGAATAAATCATGCCACGCGATTATTGATCTTTCCCTTTTCAGGAACAAGTAAAGCACAGTTATTTCTGTATGAGCAGAAAAGATCTCAATTAGGATTCAAATTGGGTATATCAAACCCGCAAGCATGGCTAAGCACCACCCCCCAACGCACGGTCTCGGGTATTCCATGAAATTAAATTTATATTGGTGCTCCTCCGAAGAACCGGATTTGAGACCTTAAAGTACTACTTATAGACAGTTTACCAACTCAGCTAGACCCTCTTTGATAAAGCTATGAAATATTTAATTCAGTTGGTTCGTAGTTTAGTCTATTGAACTGTAATAGATGATATTGTTATTTTTTTCGTTGATTTTTAAATTATAAGAAAGTAATATAGGGATAAAGAGGTAATTTAAGAGATATTAAAGGTGGAGGGCTGGAGGGTAAAATTGAGGGAAGAAAACAATTTGAGGGAAGGTAAATATGGAATAATAATTTTTGAGGGGAAGTTTAAAATATTTACAACAGTAGGGGTATATATGGAAAAACCCCAAACAAAAAGGGTAGAAAATCTCCATTTTTCAAATACAACAAAGCCCACAAATTTGAAGATAGAGAGGCAGAGAGCCTACCGCAATGGCGAGCCCCATCTCAACTCTATCCATTCCCAAAGTTTCAAGCAGCCCTCACCTTCTCCCTTCACTCCCAAAACCAAGCAAACCCATAAGATTCTCTTCAGAGCCCGAGGCCTCAACTTCATCATCTTCTTCCTCCTCCTCTTTTGGATCGATTTCTTTCAACAGGAGGAGGTTATTTGAAGTGGGTGTTGGGATTTTGGCATCCTCAGTTGGGATTTCCGATGCTAAGGCAACTAGAATAGAGTATTATGCCACTGTTGGAGAGCCATTGTGTGATATGAACTTTGTGAAGTCTGGTCTTGGATACTGTGATGTGGCAATTGGGAGTGGAGTGCAGCCCCCACCTGGTGAACTCATCAATGTAAGATTTTTTTTTAAAGTTTTTTTATGTGATTTATTCATATGGGTTTGTTCTGAATTTGTTAAATTTTGATAGTAATTTGATGATGTGGTGTTTGTTTGGGTTTTCTTTTTTTTTTGAGAAAAAAAAAATTTTCGTGGAGTCCGTCAGACAGACTCCGGCCCGCCCCGGCAAGCTTACGCAAAGCTGGGAACGATCCTCTACAGCGACGATCCGAGTGGACCTGAACCGTCAATCACGCTCTGGGCAGGAGGCCACGAGTCATCCACCAGACTGATTGGCCTGTCTCCTTAGAACTCAAGGATACAGTTGTACGAGCCTATAGAACAGATCCTGTTCAAGTAAGGTCGTGTTTGGGTTTTCTTTTAATGCGGGTAGAACAATGTTTGATCATGTTTCACACGGTTTAGAGCGGTTAGGACTTCGATGATCAAAAGTTAGCTAAGCGTGTCGCTTGTTTATATGGCGACAAAGTTAACAACATTATAGCATTTGATTTTAAATCCTATCAATGGTGAGAGTATTACTGCAAGTATTCTGAGGAATCACACTATATTTGTTAATTTGTGAGTGGATACAAACCTCCGACGCCGAGAAGCTCCGACGAGCTTCGACGAGCTCGAGAATGACGGAGATGACGCAGGCGAAGTCGACGAACGCACACTTCGACGAACGCACACTTCGGCGAACGCACCCTTCGAACTCTGCGCTCGAACCCCCCCTTCTCATCTCTGCGTTCGGCCTCGATTCTGGCGTCCGCGGGCAACTGGCGACAGGTTGTCGCCAGCCCTCCACATCCGCCTATAAAACCCCCTCCCCCAGCTAGGGTTTCGCTGCTGCAGTGCTTCTCCTTTCCCTCCGTGTTTCCCTCTCTGGCGGCGACGAAAACGCCCAAAAATGCAGCTGCGTTTCAAACTTAAATCACAGCAGTGATTTCAATCTCATCTCCAGCTCTCAAACTGTTTGAGGGGAGATTAAGAAAAAGGAATTTAAGAAGAGAGAGAGAAGGGGGAATTAAATAGGGGTTTTATATTGTGGGGTTATTCATTTATTCTCAAGTTGATAATTGATAGGGTTCATACCCTTTAATCATTAACACTGTAGCTACAGTGTTTTATTTGAGAAATCCCAGTTTAGGGATTTGCTCTTGATTTGTAATTTCTTGTTTGATTAATAAGAAATTATCTGTGTGGCTCCCGAGGACGTAGGCAGTTGCCGAACCTCGTTAAATCTTGGTGTACTTTTTCTATACCGCGTTTCCGTTGCAATTAGGGAATTAGGCGTTAAATTCCTAACAATATTTACAGTAAAGAACAACGTTGGAATATCGTAAGGAACTGAAAAGTACTCTCCATTTACAAGACATTCTTTAAAAAAAACTCTTACCTCCTCTATTTACAACTTAATAACAACTACACTTTCAAACTGTCAATTGAAAGAGCAAATAGAAAAGACGACTGCACTGAAAGCAATTGTTCTCAGATCATTACTTGCAAATGATGATCTTGAATAAATTGAAGTTTCTTAATCACAATTCCTGTAACAAAAGAACAATTTTTCAAAACAGCCCCATTTAGAGTTTTTTTTTTCAAAATCGACCGGTTTTTTTTATTTATCAAAACCGACCCGATTTTGTGATTAACCGGCTAATCACCTTCCTAAATAGCCGGGGTTGGCAACCCCGACTATTTAGGACCTTAATTTTTAGTGTTTAAGGCCTCTAATTAGGGTTTAATACCCTCCTAAATAGTCGGGGTTGGCAACCCCGACTATTTAGGATGGTGATTAGGCTGCTAATCACAAAATCGGGTCGGTTTTGATAAATAAAAAAAAACCGGTCGATTTTGAAAAATAAAACTCTAAAGGGGTCTGTTTTGAAAAATTGTTCGTAACAAAATGTCTTGGAGTATCATCTAATACCTCCACATATGAATATTTAAAGGGTGTACTTAGTATAAAGGTGCTCTTTTATTGACAGAAAAAATTAAAATTTATTTTTGGAGGGAAAGGTGTACTGTGACCAATGTATGTCAGTATGGAGCAAATAATCAAACAATGAAACTTGCACAGTTGTACTATAAGGACCTTCATGCGGCATCAATATAACTCCCATAAACTACTATGTAAATCAAGTCCACAAAAAGTACACAAATGATCTCATTTGGAAGTCCAAGACAGATTGCCAATATCTAAACAAAAGAATGAGCACATCGAACAACTCTACCAGTAGTGATGTCACCCATTGCAGAAAAATTTTCTGGGGCTATCCTTATATCTGCAGCATCATGGTCTTGGTGCGTGTCGGTGTAGTGACTACCAATGTGATGACGATTCATATGATTCTAAAACCCAAGAATAGGGAATTAAGGAAAAAATGATTTTAAGAACGGAAGGCTCATCCTTCGACACAAGTTGCTTGTGTCTATGATGCAGTATAATGTCTACCTTCAGGCCTGATTTGCTCTAGATGCTATGTTATCTGGTTGACATTTATTTTTGGTAAAGAAGCTTGTCCATTTGGTACTTGTTTGCATTGAGATTTTTCTATGTGTCCATTACAGATCCACTATACTGCCAGATTTGCTGATGGAACAGTATTTGATAGTAGCTATAAACGTGGGAGGCCACTAACGTTACGAATTGGCAGGGGAAAGGTACTTTATTAACCAAAAATGTTCAATCTCTCCATGTTAATGTGTTTCCGTTACAGTTCAACATTTGTTTTAACAGATAGGAATATCCCATCGTGATGATGGAGTGCATGAAAGAAGCACAAGCATACATGTAACACACACATGCAGAAAGAATCATGCACCCAAATGTATACACATGAGCATGTATACACATGCACAATCAGCCCCACATACGCAGGCACACGCAGACACATGTGCACACACATGCACATATGCACGCATACACACAAACATAGATGCACATGCAACATACGCTCACGCACACACACAAAAATAATCACACGCAAACACGTGTAGACGTGCATGTTCACAGACTCAAACATAGACACACATCGACACACACACAGACATCCATGCACACACACGGACACACATACACGCACACTGATGCATGCACACAGACTTACACACACATACACGGACACACATACACACACACATGCAGCCAGGCATGCACACACCCAAGCACGCACACTTAGGCGTCAGCCGTCAGGAGCTTGTTTGAGATACAGTATTTGACTGTACTTTCCTTTTTCTTCCTTCACTTTAGTCGCTTAGTTTGAATACTTAATGGTCTTAATCATTTAGATTCTACTTATGTTTTAATGTGTGCATAGTTCTCATCTGTTATCTTTAATTGCAAATAGCAAGAGCGGGTTTGAATTATTCAAATGAAAAAAATATTTCTTACTTTTCAATGTTTCCTCATTGTTGGTCATGTCGATAGGTCTTACCGGGACTGGATCAGGGTATTTTAGGGGGTGGTGGTGTTCCTCCAATGCTTGTTGGTAATATATCACTAAAGATTCTATGAAAATTGTTATTCCTATAGGTGCAATTTCATTTAGTTTTCTCATATGATGTAATAGGTCCTCTGCAATTCTTGCAGGTGGGAAGCGGAAGCTTATGATACCTCCATTGTTAGCATATGGACCTGAACCTGCAGGATGCTTTTCAGGTAACAGTTATTGTAGCTCGTTTCTTTTACGCATTCTTGAGTATATACATGTCAAAGATTCATAAGATAATGAAGTTTAAACAGTGTTGCAAATTTTATTCGAGCTCTAGTTATGTTTATGAAAGAATGTTTGGCTCGCTTGAGCCCATTTCATAAAACTTAAATGATCCTGGAATATGGGAGACTTGCTGCTCTATTACTACATCCACATTTATGGGAATAAGCTTTTCCTTAGAAACTTTTTGATCATCTTTTTACCCTGAATTTTCTTTTTTTTCCTCTTTCCACTCTTGCGTGTGGACCAAATGAAGATTGCAAGGATGCAGACTTCAATTCAATAAATGAACTAAAAGCCCAAAAACTATTAACATGAAAGCCTTTATAGTGACACATATAGGACTTAACATATTGCATTTTAAGTATGGCATTGCCAATATAATCCAATTGAAGCTGATTGATACCACCGTATTGGTTGATAACAACTACGTCATGCAGATATTGACAGGTAACAACAAATACAATTGAAAATCCATGGTATGAAGTACCAATAATTATTTGATAGTCTTGATTGGGGAAAAAATTTCTTAAAAATGAAGTGGACTTATAAAGCCTGTGAATCACTCAAATCGCCAAATCTCTCTATACCTAGCTACACCCAATTCTTCTTATGAAAATTCCCAAGACCTCTAAATTTGATGCTATAAATCATCTGCTGAAACTAGCACAAATACTGATATTTTAAAACTTGATCAAAGCTAAGGACTTGTTTGGTTCATTACATGGTAACCATTTTTTGGTGGTTTCAAGGAAAAGAAATCAAAACACCACACATGAGGATCATTTTTTGCTCATTTCCTCTCAAAAACAGCCTGAAATAGGTTTCCAGTTTTTTGTGGGACCCGCTGCATTATTAGCATCTTTGAGTGTGGTTCCCGTAGACAGTTTCTCCCCCTTTTTTTATTTTTTATTTTTTTTATTTATTTTTTTTTGTTCCAACCAAACAGATGAGAACAAGGCGTCAGAGGAAATCGATTTCCTCTGACCCTACTACCTCAGGTGGCTGCGTACCAAACAGCCCCTAAGAGAAAGTTACCTTAAGAAAACACTCTCGAAGCTAATATTTGAAGATGGGATTTTCCCACAGGTGACTGCAATATTCCTGCTAACGCAACTCTCCTGTATGACATTCTTTTTGTCGGAGTTTACAAGTGAAGAGTACTCATGGTGGATCCTGCACTTATTTAAGGCCTGGTGGTTGACGTGACCGCAGAAAAAAGAGAAATTCTGATGGTAATTAAGTCTTTCCTGTATTTATATATATATTCTCCTCGAAACAAATTTTGTACTTGTAAGCTTCTGTGTTCTGTCAGTCATTCTGAACTAGGAGAGCTGAAAAATCAAATAATAAATTAGATGCTCATTAATTAATCGGAGTTCTGCAGTGGCTCCTGCAGGGAATTTTGTGGGACATGAGCATCAAGTCTTTCCAAGATTAAGATGCCGAGTAATTATTGGAGCAAGTTGATTAGCAGTGCACCTTGGTCTTTTCCTTTGTAGCATCCTAGATTGTGATATTTGTATTATGCACGTATAAATGTAAGTTATCCTCCTATATTGATGCATGTATATGTACTGATGTAGTTCAGTGTATTATGCACGTATAAATGTAAGTTATCCTCCTATATTGATGCATGTATATGTACTGATGTAGTTCAGTTTTATCTTTTATTTTTTAGTAAGTTATCCTCCTATATTGATGCATGTATATGTACTGATGTAGTTCAGTTTTATCTTTTATTTTTTACTTTTCTGCTAGCTACTGTTTTGCATATTTGACTGCAGTGGTATCATGGACTCCTGAAAGCCAACATGTATAAAATGATATTATTTGATATGAGTATATATATACATGCAAGAGCGGACACAAAAGTTTATTGTGTTGTTTTTGTTCTCTTCTGCTTCCTCATGTACGTCTTCTTCGTTGAATTAATAGACTCATTTCTTTACACATTTAAAGTTTCTGGTTGTCGTTTTTGCTCTTGTTCAGTTGTTTCTCTCCTTTGAACTAGTCTTTTGTTTACCACCTTAAGTTACTGATTGTGTATGTAACTGCCCAAGTGATCAGGAGTCAAAATCTAGATACTTAATCATATATATTCTGTTTCAAGTTATATTTGTCAACCAAGACAACTTATTTTTTTACGTGAAAGCCAGATTTAATTTTGGAGTGTACTTGTTAATGTCAAGCAAATGGAGATTGGAGATAGGCCAGCAAGATATATATCGTTTTCTCAACGAATTTAAACTTTTTATGTAAAGCCATGTGTCTTGCATTTCTCAATAATGGAGGAGTTTCCTAAATAATGGAGGAGTTTCCTACTAGAGTATGAATCTTATCAGAACACTCCATACGGATGTATGAAGTTTATACTTGATAATATCGGGATTCTTCCACGTTAAATGGGGAAATAATTTTTTATTTAATCAAACATAACCTCTAACAATATAGACTACCATTTGGAGATCATCTATTTGCATTCAACATCATATTTCTAACATATGAACTGTCACACTCCAGACATTTTCTATATGCAATCAGTCTCATGCTCCTCTTGCTCGGTAATTAATTTAACCAACCACGCCTACTATTTTATTATGGATTTAATTACCATTTCTTCCAAGCAACCTACTGCTGGCTTCGTACATGAAATATTATATCACAAGTTCCAGCCTCATTTGTCCTTCATCACTCCGTATAAAGAAAAGCTCAGAGAATCAAAGGGGCGATCTTTTTAAGGCTCAGTTGCTTCACATGATACGCTGGTTTAATGCGTGTTCTCTTTCTATTCTTGTGTTCATACTGGCGACAGCCCTTTCAACCTATTTGCTTTTTGATGCCTGTGAACTTTGCATAGATTGCAGGACATGTGAACAGAAGGTACATGTAACTAGCTAGGGTTTGTGGGTAATGATTAACAAGAACATTAAACATAAAGACAATAATAAAGTGATGAAGTTAATAGGAATAATTGCTTTGAGCCCCCAACACCCAAAAAGCAACGTGCCCCAGCCCTCATATTATTTGTAATATGCCGCAGCCCCCAAACTTTGAAAAAATTGTGTTCCGGCCCCTCCGGCTCATAATTGGCTCACTTTTATATGTTTTTTACCGAAAAACCTAACTTTACCCCTCCCCACTTCTTCTTCAATCCTCTTCCCTCCGACCCCAGCCAGCCCCCTCCAGCCCCAAACGTCAGAAAAAATTGCGGTGCTTGCCAGTAGTGCGCTCGCCGTCGAGGTCCTCCTCGACGGCGACGACGGTTAGCGGGCGTTCATGCCGAGCCAGCTGAGCGTCGCCCCGGGCAACGAGATCGTGTTCAAGAACAATGCCGGGTCCCCTAACAACGTGAACTTGCATAGATTGCAGTTCGTATGTGGTAACCTATTTGCTTTTTGATGCCTATGAACTTGCATAGATTGCAGGACATGTGAACAGAAGGTACATGTAACTAGCTAGGGTTTGTGGATAATGATTAACAAGAACATTAAACATAAAGACAATAATAAAGTGATGAAGATAATAGCAATAATAAAAATTCATAATATGAGCAGTAGGCTAGTATACCTGTGATCTATATGTAGCCCCACATATCATTACCAACTGGTTCCTAGAGTGAGACCTATCTAAATTCAGCACACCATTTACCAAAATATTATAATAGTATGTTCTTTCTCAAAATTTTCATATTCACCCGTTTAATCTCATCAACTTCAATTCTCTTGAAATAAGTATCAACGTAGGGTGCTTGTAATTTTTAAGTTACACTAAATTAGCCTCTATTGATGCATGGATAAAAATATTGACACGTCAAGAAATATTTCATTGGACTAAATGATGATAGATCTGTGCTTTCTTCCAGTAATTGGTTGCGATTGTTGCGTTCAATATAGTGTTGAAATTAAAAAAAAAATTGATCTAGGCAGAATTGAAAGTAGAGACATAGAGTATATATACACCCTAATACAAACATTAGTAATTTTTTTTTCAATTGTAACCACCTATCATCTAGGACATACTTATGATTGGTCTTGAATGAAAAGTTGAAAACCAATAGTAAAAAAAAAAAAGTCATGAAAGCTATTAGTTATGTACTTAAATCACAACCAAATCACAAAAAAGACAGCACTAAGCAATTTTCAAGGGTGATGCCAACATAGAATCTAATACTGTATATTCACAAAAATATCTCCTGCGTGACTTTAAACAAACCTACACACCAAAAAAAGGACAAAAAAAAAAAAGCCAGAACCCCATCCTCCGCAGCAGTGCAACTCTTTTACCAGTCCAAACCTATTCAGCTCAAACAGTACATGAAACACATCAAAATATGTACTTTTTTTTTTACTGACAGAACCCCAAAACTTCCCACTATTTTGCCACTGTTTCCTTCTGTAAGACACAAACAATGTCTTCACATGATTGAACAGGCATTAGGATTCTCATCACTGAACATGTTGGTAAGCTGGTCCTCTTGCCTGTAATAAGCTTGGCTTGGGATTGTGAAGGACTCTATATTCCTCACGAGACCAGGGGGTGCCTTCTTGTCATAAGCTCCTGCAACGTAAGGGTGAGACACCAAGTTGTAGGGTACATAGGGCCAGATTTCAGCCTTCTTTCCAGTGGACTGGGCCTTCTTCAGGACCTTGTTGGGCTCAATATACCCAGTTACAGTCGCTTTCTGCTGCTTCCTGTTGATCTCCACCTTCTTCACTCCTGAGCATCACCGACACACAAAACTCTAAGAGAGTTAGCTCTATCTTGAAACTACTGATGCAAACAATGAATCGACTCTCGGGGGTAATAAGTGGCACAATGCGATATTACGGAGGTGAGACGAGAAGAGAAATAAGACTATACGCAATAACTTCAAACGAAACTCAAGTCACAGAAACAATATTGCGAAAAACAAGGTGAGGGGTTAGAGAGAGGAGAAGCTAGAAACAAACCACTCATAGAGGAGAGAGTCTTCTTCACTTTGAGCTCACATCCCTCGCAGCACATTCTGACCTTGAGCTCCACTGTCTGAAGCTGTTTCTTGTGCTTATGTCCACTGCTGCTCAATAAATCAGAAAAATACTCCAATGTCCCTCCAATACCCATAACTGTTTTTACTTTTTTCTTTTCTTTTTCTTTTCTCTTTTTCCAACAAAAACTTGAATGCAAGCTCTAAAGAAGAGAAATGGGTGTTTATGTGAGAAGAAAGGAGAAGTGAGGGCTTGGGATTTATAGTGAATCGCTCCCTTGAGGAACTGTAGAGGCTTTGTGAGATACTTTTCTTAACACTGACCTCTGTTTTCTATTTTGCTTACTCCTTGATGAAACCTTGCTTCTCACTTATATAGGACTTTCTAAAGCATAAGCCAGCCCTTGATAAAGCTCTCACCAACAAAGTTTAATTTTTAATAAAGTAATGTGAAATGGATTGTCTAAGCTAAGAGTTGTCTAGAGAAGTAAACCGTTTTTTTTTTTTTTTTTTGTTAGGAAAATCCCAAAAGGAAACAGCAGTGTACCTGCATGACCTTTGTTTGGATTCCAGCCCTTTTCCTTAGAGGGCAATGGGGTCTTTTGCATTTTCTTAATATCTAATGTTGCAGTTTTTTTTTGGTAGTATATACTCTCTACATTTGTTATTTGATGTTATTTTACAAAATATCGAATATTTGGGGTATGAACTGCAACTTATTTAATAAAATTAGTAAGCTAAAAGTGGTGATTGTGATTGAAGTTACATTTTTACCTGTGGTTTATCTTTAAAATTTTGTATTTTGTATTTATAATTATATTTATAGATGTTTGTTTAGTATATCAAGTTCTTTGAACTTATATTTGAGGTTTATTATAGGTAGATGTATTTTTTTGTCCTTGTATAAGTTTAAATATTAACTTAGGAGATGACACAGGAACGAACGGAATGCAAAAATAAAATTCTTGTAGACGATATGAAATATTTGAGACAAATGTTTTGTTGTTGTTGTATTATATAAAAAGATTAATGGGTGTCCTATATCAAGGAGGGGATTTCCTCCTCGAAAATGATGTGGCACAATCCCCACCATGTGAATAAAGTAGGAAAGAGAATATCATATGCTGAGGATTATGTCATATCATTTTTAAGAAGGAAATCATCTCCTATGACAATGATACTCGTTATTCTCTTATATAAATTTGGAAGCTTTTAAATAAAAATTACCTCCTGAACTAAAAGGTCTGCTCTTGTCGTGTACGAGAGTGGAGAAGGAACATCATACTTCGGTTGCAAGAAATCTACAGAGGCCAAACAGTGAAAAATTTTCTTGGAGATGACGGTGAATAAGGAAAGAAACATTCAACGGAAAGCAAAAGGTGATTCTGGCCCTTACGAGAAGAAAACCCAGGGAAGTGGGCCAATACTCAGAGAATCAGAGCCCAGGGGGGAGACACGTGGAATCAGGGTGAGATGTGACAGCTGTCACATGCCACCTGGACATCCTTGCCGATAATGATAATCTCTAATTGAGTTCTCGGAAGACTAATAAATGAGCAATTACCTTGTGATTGGGGGTCTGATTGTTACTTGCTCTAATCAGTTTCCTGATCCATGAATTGCTGAAGTTGTTGGTTCTTTTACTGAGGTTATGCTGAAGAAAGCTGATTCACTGATTGACCTTGATTTTTTTTAATTATTATTATTATTAGCTTGAACCACAGACACACTTACTAATTGGGTATGAGTTACATCATTATTGTGCTTACTCTTAAGTTAAGATAAACATAAAATAAGGTCCACAGAGATGTGCAAATGCCAGCAAAGATTTATAATAGCATCATCATAGCGTTAATTATTGCCCACAACAGATTAAGCAATGAAGTAAACAGAAATTTGTACTTGTTATATCTATGAAATTACTAAATTTAATGGAGCCTCTGTAAGTGGGGGCCACACCTACGCGTGTGTCCCTTTCCGCGTGAGACAGGCGCCCACACCCACGTGATTTGGAGGGGGGCACCCACCAGGGTGTTCCCGAGTTTAGCAGGCCCACCTGAAATCCTTTTGCAGCGATTCTTTTCCTATAATAAATACCAACGCAGACTTCTTCTAGGGTTTTGTGCAAGAAAAAAAACACAGAAGAGACGTGACGGTTTTTAGTCGGCTGACGAGGGTGTTTGGTGGCTGTTTTTGAGAAGAATAGCAGGGAGTTTTTCAGATCGAAGGAGAGAATTGAAAGAGAGATTTGAGAGTTTTGTTTGAGAGATTAAATTGTGAGTTTTGAGTGATTTTGTAATCTCTATTTGTACTCTCTCTCTCTCTCTCTCTCTCTCTCTCTCTCTCTCTCTCTCTCTCTCTCTCTCTCTATTAGTAAAATCCATCCCCTCCTTGCCCCGTGGACGTAGGCAACTTTCCGAATCACGTAAAATTCGTTTGTCCTGCTGTGATTTGTAATAGCTTGTTAGGTTCCCTCGACAAGTCAGTCCTAGAACTAATGAGAGGAAGAGTGTAATAGCTTGTTAGGTTCCCTCGACAAGTCAGTCCTAGAACTAATGAGAGGAAGAGTGTATATCCCACTTTGTTGAGATATCCTCGACAAGTCAGTCCTAGAACTAATGAGAGGAAGAGTGTATATCCCACTTTGTTGAGATATATCACTTTCGGTTCTTGTTTCCTTGGTAAGACGGGAATTTTAGTTGTGATCTTACTCTCTTGTTGTGCACCAGATGTGTTGTTGAAATTTTCACTACGCACAATAAGTGGTATCAGAGCTACATGTTAGGCTTGGAGCTTGTTTGAAGGATTCCATGAAGGATTCCTATTTGAAGAGTTAGATCGACAACATGGGTGAATCAAGCACATCAGGTTCGTCTTTTATGAAGGCGATACAGAGTCTGAGCATCAATAACACAAAGATTGATGTTTCGAAGTTCGACGGCAAGATCAATTTCGGATTATGAATGTGTCAGGTGATGGATGCCTTGGATGCACAGAATTTGGAGGAGACTCTTGAGTTACAAGAGAAACCCGAAGACATAGAGGACAAGGTTTGGAAGAAGATGAACAGTAGGGCTTGTGGAGTTATTCGGCATGCTTGACGCCAGATCTTATTTATGATGTTATGAACGAGACGTCGATGAAGAGATTGTGGGAAATGCTCAATGAGAAGTATCTTACTAAGAGCAATGAGAATCAGCTTCACTTGAAGAAGAGTTTTTACGAGTTCAAGATGAAGAGGGGAGTTTCCATTAGGAAGCATGTAAACAACTTCACGAAGCTATTTTCAGATATGGCCAATGTGGACATCATGGTTAAGAATGAAGACAAGACGATGCTACTTTTGTGTTCGTTACCAGAGGATAATTATGGTACGTTCGTTCTCACTATGATCAATGGAAGAACTACTGTTAGTTATAAGGAGGTGACCTCGTCGTTGGTAAATTATGAGTTGAGGAAGAGTGATGGTGAACCATCCAAGAAGACATCGGGAGATACATTAGCAGTTCGAGGCCGTGATCCAAACCGCCGCCAGTTCAACCGCTCAAAATCGAAGAATAGAGGTGGGCATAAGAGTATTGGTAGGAATCAATGTTGCTTTTGTAAAGAAGAGGGACATTAGAAAATCGACTGCCCAAAATTAAAGGACAAAGCCGGGAAGAATAAAGGGAAAGCTGTATAAGCTTCAGAAGTGAATGTTGTCAAGGCTAGTGACGATAATTCAGATACAGATTCTTCAGACTTTTCACATTCAGCATTACCGTCAGTTTGTTACGCTGGCTCTACGGAGTGGATGATAAATTTTGGTGCTACATACCATATTTTTTCTAGGAGTGATTGGTTCTCCAGCTTTGAGGAGTTAGAAAGAGGGGATGTCGTGCTTATGGGTAATGATCACGTATACCCTATTTGTGGTATTGGTACAGTTCGGATCTGCATATGTGACGGGGTGACTCGGGAGCTAAAGGAAGTAAGGTTTGTGTCGCAGTTGACGAAGAACATTATTTCACTTGGAACTTTGGAGGCAGCTGGCTATCGGGTGATCTTGGAGAATACAACTCTGAAGATCACGAAGGGGTCCATGGTGGTGATGCGAGGTGTCAGGAAAAATAACCTATACTACTTGAAGGGAAAGATAGTTACAGGGGGTCTGGCAGCTTCTATCACTACAGAAGAGGACACTACTAGTTTATGACACATGCGTTTAGGACACACTAGTGATAAGTCCCTGCAAGCATTGGCGAAACAGGGGCTATTGAAAGGTGTGAAGACCTATAAGATGGAGCTATGTGAGCATTGTGTACTTAGGAAGAAAACGAGAGTGAAGTTTGGCACCGCTATTCACAATACCCAAGGTATATTGGACTACATTCACACAGATGTTTGGAACCCTTCCAAGCACACATCACTTGGTGGGGCCAACTATTTTGTCACTTTCATTGACGATTATTCTAGGAAAAATTGGGTACACCCTATGAAGTATAAACATGAGGTCCTGGATATTTTTGTGGAGTGGAAGAAGAAAGTGGAGCTACAGACAAGTAGAAAGGTAAAGACTTTTCATTCGGATAATGGAGGAGAGTATAAGAATGATCTGTTTCTGTAGTTTTGTCGGGATCACGATATTTGGCGATACTTCACAGTTCGTGAGACACCACAACAGAACGAGGTGGCTGAGAGGTTGAACCGTACCTTGCTGGAGAAGGTATGATGTATGATGACATAGAGTGACTTGTCAAGATCCTTTTGGGCCGAGGCGTTGGTTTATGTGAGCCATCTCGTGAATAGGTTATCGTGCACTACGATATAGGGAAAGGACTCCTATGGAGCGTTGGTATGGTTCGGTGGCTAGTGACTATGAGTCGCTTCGGATATTTGAGTATCCAGCTTATTACCATGTCAGTGATGGTAAATTGAATCCGATGGCAAAGAAAGTAGTCTTTGTGGGCTTTAGAGAAGGAGTAAAAGGTTTCAAATTGTGGGATCCACAGGATAAGAAGATAGTTATTAGTAGAGATATTACATTCGATGAGGCGTACATGATGAGGCCTCAAGTCCCTCAGCAGGTGGAGGGAGACCAGACAAGAGGGATATCATATCAGGTGGAGGATGATATGACTCCACCCACTCCAGATAGCATTGTATCCATTGAGGCTCCTACAGAGATGTCACTGGAAAGAGATGGGATGACAACCGGGTATTTAGAGGATACATTGAATGGTGAGACTCGGGAGCTGGGTCATGTTCAGGAATCCATTGCAGCAAACAAACCCAGAAGAGTGATTCGTCGGCCAGCTAGATATAATGATGTCATGATTGCATATGCCTTATCAGTAGAGGTCGTTG